GACTGACTGACTAACTGACTGACTGACTGACTGACTGACTGGTGGACTAAATACCTATGACAAAGGGCTAACGCTCAAAACGTCAGCTTTTGTAATCATTACGGTGGCCAATTTACCATTTCAACTTTGTTGATATATCCCAATTATTTCGTTACTCCCACCGACGCAGCCCCAAACAGTTTCTTTCAAAACTATCAGCCTTTATTCATAAATACCTACTGACTGACTCTGTGGCTGGCTGACTGACTGACTGACTGACTGACTGACTAACTGATGGACTGAATATTGACTGACTGGCTGACCAACTGGCTGACTGACTGACTGACTAACTGATGGACTGAATATTGACTGACTGGCTGACCAACTGGCTGACTGACTGACTGACTGATTGACTGGCTGGCTGACTAACTGACTGATTGAGGGACTGGCTGGCAGACTAGTTGGCTGGCTGATTGGCTAACTGATGGACTGAAGACTGACTGACTGATCTGCAAAATGACTTGCTGGCTCACTGAATTACTGATGGTCTAAGACACTGATGGACAGAATAACTGACTGACTGCCTTTGTGCTGGTAATTCAATATGACATAGCTGAAGTTTCTCTGAATTATCTGTTTCCTCATAGGAGTGATTGACGAGGTTTCATCGAAGCCATTTGGTGTCAATCCACAGATATTGATGTCCATTATCAAAGGACTTTATTCACTCAAACCAGGTTTGTGTAGCACTCTCTTGATTTCTTCATCTCCGATTGGTTACGTATAGTAATAATATTATTCTTTTTGCAGAGTTTTCTGAGCGCAATCCAATGCTCTTTGCCCGATTTATTCCCAACATTTTACCCCCAACACAGTTTGACCAGCTACCAAGTCTAATTCAAGAAGACCGTTTGTTACAGGAGGACCTGGTGACGAGCCAGGGCTTTTCAAGGTAAGAGGTGTGTTGTGTTGTGTTCCATAAGTAATCCGGGATCGCATGGTTTGCAAGACTAAGCTTGGTGATTGGTCCAGAAAACTGGTACCACTTTTCAACTAATCAGATTCAAAGCCCAAAACCAGTTGCAACCTCTTCACGGACGATTTTCCAGCTTTTCATGCCTTTTGCATGAGGTCACCTTGAGTTATCATTGGTTCCTTGCATTTGCATATGGCCTTCCTGGTTACTTCGAGTTAGGTTTGTGACATTCATCGGAAAGCCCCTTAAAGAACGAGCTTTTGAAGACAGAGTCGGATTTGTCTTGATTGGCTCGGTCACTAAGTTATGTAGTTCCTGGTAGTTCTCTTTTTTTAGTCCAAATCCGCGAAGGGCTTTAAGGGTCTTCATTTACTTGCTTTTATCAAGTTGTTCCAAGCCTAATTGATACGAAACTTGGCTCTACTACTTACGAAATCTAAATGTTAGTGTAAAGAGCTTTTAATTTGAGCGTTATAGAGCTATTTTCAATGGAGTATAGGAAAGTAAACCAGGATTGCTTTGGTTTACTTTGCTTCGCTCTGTGATTGGCCCAGAGAACTCGCGCCACTTCCTCAACCGATCAGATGTAAAACTAACACCAATGGCAACTTGGTCGCCCGCGTTTTCGCGCGCTTTAAATTGGTTATTTTTATGTTGAGTTCTCATTAGCTATAGGTATTTTCGGCTCTTTTGATTGGCTGCTGTGATGACTTTGGTTTGAGTTTATGACACTCAATCGAAAGGCGCTCTGAAGTAAAACTCAACACAGTTCCAGATTACTTGCGACACCCAACTTGAAGTGACTTCAATTTTATTTCTTTCCAATTTAGAGAGGACACGGGAAAGAAAAGGAGAGGAGAAGATTTCCAAGGCAGATAGGGAACGAATGACTGCCTACACAATTTAAAATCGAAGGAAACTATAGCGCAGAAGGAATCAAATCTCTAGGAAAGCGTAACGACCCAACAAAAAAGAAAAGACAACGAATCTACTGAGAAATGTTGTGAAAAGGACACCTCATTCTGGTGTATACCACAGCATAACCAGAGGCATGGCAGTTTCGGCTCTTTCACCTATTTTATCTCGCTCTTTTCTGTTTTCCAAAAATCAAAGGCTTCTTCCCATTTTTTTTTGCGCATCAGAAAACATGTAGAGTTCTTAAATATGGAAATTATACCTGTCGGGTCGTATCAGGTGATTTAGGACTAAGGTAAACAACTGAAATCTCCACGAGTTTAGTTTTCATGACTGCGAAACTTTAATGGACGTTACCCAGTTTACGCCGCTGGATTACACGAAACACAGCTATGAGACAAATATGGACACCAACTGAATTACGGATGTAAATAATTTCTGTTTGGGGAAGAGAGATGTTAAATGTTTGGTTCAATTACTGGAGGGGGGCATTCCTCAATACAAACTTCAAGAAGTGCTGGTCGAAAAATCTCGAATCACTCCGAAATACTCAAAGATGACAAATTTCTGTTTTGTGGGCGTGGCCCCAATTCATTTCACCCCTACGAAGTATCGCTCTAACGTTGGGTAACTATTTATAACTAAGTAATTTCGAAATTAAAGTTATTCCCGATCGCGCAATGGATCCCGTCATTTTTCAGATCGATAACTTTAATGAACCCAAAAATGTACCTTGGCGATTGAAGAAACGGGCATGTTAGCTTTCGACACCTTCAGGGGCACCAATCTGTTGATTTTACTCCTAAGAGGAACAAAACCCTGTGTCATTTTCCTGTGGGAGTATCCCTCGACTTTTGAATTTTTGCCTATTGGTGCAGACTGCACAAAAAGTGAACTTCTGTCGATAAGATTGGTACAATTATAATCTTATGTAATAGCCTGGGCAATGTGGTCGAGAGTATAACAGAATGTTTCAAGTTTTTCAGACATTCATTCGTCAATTGAAACCTTAAAACCTAAAAATGAACCGATGTAGTAAATATTCCAGCAAATAAAAAGTATTTTGTTTGATAACTTTACGTTTTGAAAGAATTGATTTTCCTCTCAACGATAAGTAACCACACCCCACAAGTCTCAAGCCCGCGTTGCAGACGCATTTTTTGTGATTAAAAGCCTCCATCTTCGATCACAAAGCAGAGGAAGAATCAACCTTGCTTGGTGTCGTCGCGCAACGCACTCTGGAGGGTAGCGCATTCATCGAAGAGAAGACGCATTGTCTGATGAGAACAAATAACTAATGCGCAAGACTAACCTGGTGGAGTAGTTATTATGCTAAGCCGCTCTTCTAGTTCCTGGGTAAACAGACTTTAAAACTCTTCTTATCACGAGAAACCACTGACAGCAGTTTACTTAGATTCTACCAGTTAGATAAAACATCTAGCTTGAGGAACAGGCATAAATTTTCTTGCTTTCAGACGTGCAAACGCGAGGCTAAGTCGCGGTAGAACACGTAGGGTGAGTCGTGCACGAGAAGAAGAGCACTCCTTCTCTTGTGCGCATCTCGCCTCTCGCGATTGTTTCACGCCAGCCCCCTGCTATCTGCTCCCCTGAAAACGCGAAAAAAAAACTGAAGCCTGATCCGCACACCATTATTCGCCTGGGATCTTAGGTTGCCAGTGATAGCGGGAGAGGTCCTTATGTCCCTAAACGCTACTGGTACTGTGAACAAAACATTTCTGCAGAGTACCTGACAATTAGACTACCGAGCAACGTGACATTCTTTATTAAATTAAAATATTTTTCATCCCTGACTTTAGCTTAGCCTAGTCTTTCGAGTACAACGAGAGAAATATACATGTTCTTGCCTCACAAACATAATTTTTAAAATGACTACATTTTATTGTTATTGCAGTGATTTTGTGTGAAATAAACGGACCGTAGTGAGTTAAATATCCGCCACGAGCTACTCCACTTCGGTGAATCAAGTAGTTTTTAGCTTGTTGGTCGTCGCGCTGTCCGTACTGGTTTATGTGCGCTTAACATGAATTGAAAGAAAACTAAGTCCCTGTACGAGTCGGGAAAGATGACAGGGGCTATCAACGTCCAGATATAGATGAACGTGCTAAAGATGGCAGCAGACAGTCGAATCCAGACTGCTCCCCATCCGCAAACTAACTTGACACTGAAATGTTGAGCCTCTTCTGGCCGGTACCAGCTAGTTAATGTCATCATGGAATAAAGAGCAGCCAGACAAAAAAGCACTTGGAAAAACGAATAACTGTAGGCCACGCCGTCATGCTCATCGTCAAAAACGCAACCGCCTTCCTCGAAAACGCCGACACGCACCATGGTTTCTTCTGTACTGGGTACCTCGCGAGTTTCGTGTGTTTGCGTGCGTGTAGAATGTCCTGATTGAAGTTTGCCGTACTGCGGAGCGCGAACGTCGCGTAAACAAGCGTAGATTAATACAAAGAACATGAATCCTAGACTTAACAGTATTTGAATATTACTGAATGGAGTCCCAGGGAAGAGATAGTCACGTGATGGGTTACAAACTTCATCGGGTTCATTTGACAACGCTAACCACGTGATGAAGGTATTGTAAGCGGTGGCGACCGCTGCTTGTAGGAGTCCCGAACGCGGGCGTGCTTCTTGAACAACAGGATTAACAGAAATATAAGTGGCAGCTACACAGAGATAAACATTAAACGTTATGAAAAACATGTTATTATGGCAGCCGGGTGCCCATGCGTAGAGAATATAGAAGGATACGATTGACATAATAGAGATTGCGTAAAGTGTTATGGTGGGTATCCACAGAACCATATACCATAAGTTCAACTGTGCGTAAGATGTTGAGGCTTCGAGCCTCTCCACGCAGCTGACATTCCACCCATGTACAAAGTCAATTAACAGCACAAATTGCAAAATGATAAAAGCAAACCCTCCGTTTAAGCCAAAGAATGTCCACACTTCACCAGTGTATTCCGAATGCGGTATAAGCAAAAATGAAAACGTTAATAAAGATAAAATCAAAATTTTCACTCCCCAAAAGCCATTGTTGATCCGTGCTCGGCTATCACGACTCGATGACACCCCATATAAAGCCAAGCTCTGGATTAAGTAGAAGATGGCTAAGATAAAAAGAACCCTGTACACAGAGGCGTAGCTAAGTAATGTGTCACAGAAAAAATAGGAGACAGTTTGGCAAAAGTCATCGCCAAGAATGTGTCTTGTTCTTGGTGTCAGCAAAAAGCAACATAGCAAGCAAGCTCCTAGTAGAAGTCCAATGTACGACATTCGGGTGAAAATTGACTGGCGAAGCCGAACTCGAGGACGGAAACAACGTGCACAAAAATGTAAGCCGCAGCATAGAACTATATCGAGTTTATAACAGACTTCAAGAAACGTATCTATTACTCCTCGAAATCTTGAATTTTCATTAGCGTTTGTTTCGCTGTTTCTTGGGTTTTCCACAATAACTTCATGAGTCGACGAAGTTGACGTAGTCGCCATTGAATTCGTCTCCACCTTTCAACGGTTTTTTCAACGCGTCGATTGAAAACCAACTCTTTCCTCAATTTCGTGGTTGAGAGCTTGAAGTGAAAAAAAGCAATGTTGTTAGTCTTTTTAACACGTGTCAGTGATTTAGGGAAACCTTAAATATTTAATGTTGCATGTTCCCTTTAAGCCATTGTTGTGGGTTCTTTGTTCTAGCTACGAAATCAGGAAACCACAAGTACGACCCCAAGAAATTCAATTATCGTAAAGGGTCTGAAATAGTTGAATTTAAAAGCGATAAAGAAAAGAAAAGAAAAGAATTAATACCTATGATGCCTACATGGCATGGTCGACATAACTTGAATTGGCTCCTTACTGATTCTTATTAAGTAGCGTTATACAAACAAAATCTGATTCGCTTCAGCTTGTAATCAGGGCTGCTTCTTCTTCCGATGGATGGTTTTATAAAACAATACGTCAACGGCTTCATGATTTTTCGCTGAATACTTTATGACCGAAAAATTTTCTGTGTCGTCTGGAAGTATTTTTTATCGATCAGTGGGGCGATGTTTTTTTTGTAAGAATACTTGTAATTTATTTTACCTTCTCCGAATTAGCCCTAGCCTCTTTTTCATAACGAGGCCCGGTGCCCAATAGTGCAATGAATTTAATTTGCATGTGAATGAGAACGGATTATCAAATGAAAGGATGAGCACCAGGACTCGTTTGAAAAAAGGCTAACAAAAGGTAACTCGGAAATGGGCAATTACTTCATCGATAAAACTTCTGCTTGCTAGAGAAATAAAAGAATTTAACCGGAAGCTGGGTAAAAATACTTTTCAGATATCTTTAAAGTTAAACGGCATAGAGAGATTTTCAATGCGTCTCTCATATTTTCCACTTACAGTTAGCTAAAACATAATTTCAATAATTTCGATAGAATGCAAATAAAATGTCAGTCTGAACAAAGCAGGAGGTTTCTGGCTTAGAGGAATCAGATGACAAAAATCTTTTTTCTTGACATTTCAAGATTACAAAACCGAAGCTCTTAGCTCCGCCGCAGAAGAAAGTGTGGTGTAACTTCCACTTTATGATGTGTTTCAAATTCTTTTTCCGTTGACACACCATTACGCATGCTATTTTTTTTCTCAAGCGATGTAATTTTTAATCTATACGCGCAAGAAATCATAGTCTCTTGATACGCGATATTGGCCAAAAATTTAAAATTTGTCATGAATTAAGTAAAGTTTGACTGGAGGAATTTCACTCCCAAAAAGTTTAGTCATTGTTTCAGTGCCTCCCAGTTAGCACGGTTAGTTTTACATTCATACAGCTTACAAGACTGAAATATATATTTTTTAATTTCATAGATTTCTTGGTTTTGTCCCTCGGTCTTACTTTTATACTGCGTCCTTACTGTGGACGACTGCTCAGAACGAGCGTTTAAATGCAATGCTTTCTTCACTACATTTCTTCACCCATTTAACTCCAAAGATCTGATTGTTGACACATCCTTTCTATCTGCTACACAATCCCTGGTAAATTAGTCGCAAGAAATTGATACTTCATCAGGATAACAACTTTTACCAGATAAGTTTGAGTATTCTTATTTTACCTTTTCCTGGATATTATAGCAAGAGGGTCCATTCACCTTTTGTGAGTTAAATGGTTAATCATTTAGAGTTCAAGATTAGTTCCTATGATAGAAAAATAACATAACATGGATCCGAAAGAAAAAGAAAACTACATGCGGTTTGAATAGAGAGGGTCCTGAATTAAGTTCTTTTTTTCCGGGGTGTAAAAGGAAAAATGACAATAATTATATTATACCAATAACATGAAGAGCTGAATAAGCTAGAGGGAAAAAGTAAATGGCAAAATAAAATATTTGTATTGGGCAAAATGATAATGATACAAAGTGTCTTCAGACAAGATGCATGCTAGTTGACTTTATCATGTAGATAGTCTAGATATGGTTAAGTTATTCCAAATCTTCAGGATTGATGCATCATGTTTTGTTTTGTCTTTAACTCGGTCCATTTTTCTATCGCAAGCGTTGTTATTGCATATCTAGAGAGGGAGGGGGGAGGGGAGAGGCGAAACTGGGAGGTTCGAGAGTTTCTAACTCCGTCATTTCCCAGAAAAAAAAAAGAAAACAAAAAACAAAATCGAACGTCTGTTCGCCGGTTAGCATACGAGAGGCTTAGGTATGGTACATGTAACACAAAGAGATAAATATGAGAAGAGAATGGGAAAATGCATGAATTTTGTAGAACAAGAAATCCCTTCTCGACGATACTACACTCACGTGCACACTTATTCTGGTATTCTTGCTCATGTTTGGCTGAAAGAGACCAGTAGATAGTTTATTTAAATTTCAAAATTCCAGCTCCACCCCCCTCCTCATAATTTGTGCAAGTGGCAGGGAGAATATTAGCTTGTCTTTTACGATTTCGAACAGTAAACAATAATCCAATACAAAACAACAAAAATCGGGTGCTTGGACAAGAAGTTTCAGCAACAGCTGCAACCGCTGTCTTTTGACACAAGCCCTCTTCTAAGTCTGGAACAGACTTTGAGTAGACTGGGTACCATTAACTCGCAGCGCCTGCTGGGTATTGAAGTCAGACTGACGTGGCGAGCGCCGGGCACACAAAGAAAGATGGCGGTCGTTTCGTGGGGATCGGTGATTTTAGTCTTTTTGGGGCTCGATTTAGCCCAAGGCCTCTATTTCCACATGGGAGAAACAGAAAAGAAGTGTTTCATAGAGGAAATTCCTGACGAAACAATGGTTATCGGTTAGTTGAGACATCTCTGTTTGTTACAGAATTTTTAAGTTATAGTTCTCTGATTGGCGTCTTTTTAAAGCCATTTGTTATTTCTGGGTTAGCTTTTTCGAATGATGAACAGTTCCATGGTAGTCCTAAATGTTAAAAAAAAGCCATCATCACTATTACCTTGGTAAAGTGGCATATTGTTTCGATTATGAAAATGTGTATTTATATAGTGTAATGGTATAATTATGATATCCAGCATGTTGCATGCATCTTTACTCTAAATTACAAATATAGCGGTTACTGAAAGAGCATGCATGCCTTGAATCATTTACCAGAGGATAACGTAAGAAACAAGGTTAAGCGAGAAAAGAAGGGAATTAAGAGCACTAGAGTGTTATTAAAGGCCTTCATATCATATGTTTTGATATTTTACCACATTGAGTATATACCTTTTCACCAAACTCAGACCTATAAATACTTAGAGCGAATCCATGGTTGAGCAAAACTTTTTTTAATTAATGTGAGTTTAATGTTGTTGTTACTACATACTCATTGACTGTGTGGGAGAGTCAGATGGGAAAATATTTGGCTCAAGGTCATGATGTACATGTATGGACCGAGCACAGCAAGGTCCTTGCTTCATGACAAAGAGCCAAATATTTTCCCATCTGAACCAACCAAACTCAATCAATAAGTTTTAATCATACAACCACTATACACTCAAAATTTAGTATTTACCAAAATAGGACATGATGGACCGACAAACACAGGACAAACACAAAAAAAGATTCCATTTTTTTTTTTTTTGGTCCAGAACAAGAGACTCACAATCCACTGAAAAAGGCAACCTTTTCTTTTCTCTCATTTCTTTTTTTCTCTCAAGCTTTTGCAACAAAACCCTGGATGGCTCTTTCTAGAGTGGTACACATCATCATGTCAAGTCCTTTACACATCAGCTTTCACTTTTGTTTTCTGTGGGATTGCACACGCAGGGCAACAGGGGGTCGTATGATAATACAGAGTATATCTTTCTTACAAAACAGTCAAACTTATAAATGAAACTTAACTATTGTGACATTACCTCCCTGTTCTAATGTTATTATGACAATTCAACAGGTAAATACAAAACGCAGTTATACGATGAAAATGTGAGCGATTTCCTTCCATCCAGTCCTGGAATAGGCATGCATGTTGAAGTGAAAGATCCAAACATGAAAGTTATTTTATCAAAATATTATGCATCAGAGGGAAGATTCACTTTTACTTCTCATTCACCTGGTGAACACCTTATCTGCCTTCACTCAAATTCTACTCGATGGTCATTGTGGGCAGGGGGAAAACTGGTAAGTGCATTTGTTTCAATACATTTTTCTATAAACACCTGCCTTTGGTGTGGTTGGTGGCTGTGCTACAGGACAAAACCCTTACAAGAAAGCATGTTCGCAGGCTGAACAGACAGTAGTAGACCACCATTAACTGGCTTTTATTGAAACTCCTGTAAGTGAGGACAGCTCTGAAGTTGAGCTTACTATTTATTATTTATTATTTATTATTATTTATTATGAAGTGATATCTAGTTTGAAATCTCCAGTGTCTCTGCTCTGACACCCAAGGAATACCATGGAAAACAAGTGGTTGTTTGTTTTTTTTTAAATGGACTTAATTGGTATCTTTTTCAGCGCATTCATTTGGATATTCAAGTGGGTGAACACGCCAATGATTACCAAGAAATTGCTGCCAAAGACAAACTTACAGAACTCCAGCTTCGTATTCGTCAGTTGTTAGACCAAGTAGAGCAGATAAGCAAAGAGCAGAACTATCAAAGGGTAAGTCTAAAAGAACACCTTTCAATTTTATAGATTTATTAACCAATTCTAGAAAAAGGATATGTTACTTTTTGTTAGACAGAAGTTCTAAGAATTAACGTAATTCCTGGTTATTTCCTTGAAATCCTTTAAAAGTATATAGGTCAAACCACATCAATTGTTACATCTTAGTTGGAGCATCTGGCCCATGTGTATCATTGACATTGTGAAAATTGTAATCCTAACAAACTTTGTGTAAAGTTACTGTAGTACTATAACTTAACATGAGAATATACCTTTTCTCAAAACAATGAGCATTCTTATTCTATACCTAATGATTTTATTTTCTGTGATCAAAGTTTCGCGAGGAGCGATTCAGAGCAACCAGTGAAAGTACCAACCAACGTGTCCTGTGGTGGGCTCTGGCACAAACCTTGATACTCTTGGTCACTGGATTCTGGCAGATGCGTCATCTGAAGGGATTCTTCGAAGCAAAGAAACTAGTTTAAAGAAATTATTAAAGTTGTTTTAATTTGGGCTGAAGGACAGGATCCATTGGGCTCTCTTTTACTGCTTCCTATGTGGACATCATTTACATGGCTTTGTACTGTCACAAGATGATAAATTGCATCAAAGAAGCCTCTAGAAAACATCACAAATGAATTTAAATCGTATAATTTCATTTTTGTTTCTATCTGATAGTAATCTGTAATTGCTTGCATAAAAGAACTTTTCCTAGGCCAAGTTTACTTACTCCACACGTGTCTTGATTCATCTCTTTGGCCTTTCTTTTTGGGCCCAAACATGAGCTAAGTATTTGTCTATTTTTTCATCACCCTGCTGGTACAATCTGGTTATGTTGGCCTGTGATGAATGGTCAGACAAAGTAAGTTATGCTGTGTCTAAGTTGTTAAGGAATCTTTCTTAGAGTATCACTCTTGGAACTAGAAAAATTGGGACTTGGAAAATTGTTTGCTTAATAGAGGTGTTGTTTAGTGTAGCTGGCAGTGATCAAAGGTCACAGGAAATTTTTTTTGTCTACTTGGGACCAAAATTTGTAGGGGGTTTGAAGGAGCCCCTTGGAGGTATCCCAAAAGAGGGGTGTCACTTGATCAAGTGCTTTGAGTTCAGTCTCTATTTAATTGCAGCTAACCCTTAAATTTGTTGAAGTAACTTTTCCTTGCAATGAGAATGCAAAATTAGGCAAACAGGGATAAAAAAAAATAAAAGCTTACCAAATAAAGAGTTACACTGATGTTTGGAAAACGTTCCTCAACAAAGTTACAGAGAAATAGCACTGATTTGTCAAAATGCAGACAACTACAGGGATTCTCCATCCTTTGGGCCAGATCTGTGATGGCTATTTTTGGCATTGAAGAGTGTAGTTTGTAGCAGAATGTTCCTCAGCTTATGGCCATATTCTCTTTAAGTTGTTTCCTCACAGATTATATCTGTTTTCCACTAACTGACAAGAAATCTTTGATTGTCATGATTTTGGTTTTCAATTTTTTTTTTAATTTAAACTTAGTAGTCTTAACCTGAGATAATTTTTCATAAGATTTCAAATATTTTACCCCAAGATGCTGTCACATTTCTTAAGAAAGGAATAAAATTCATGATGTAATGTAGTGTTGAGCAATACCTCACCTCTTAATCTTAAACCATACAACCTGTGACAGAAACATGTAAGTAAATACATGAATAGTTGGCCTCATCCATTTTTTCCTGATAGATAAGGAATATGAGAGTATTTCAATTGTGAGGAGAAAGAATTAAAGGAAAACTCTGAAAAAACACCCCACAACAAAGGCAATGACTAACAGCATCCTTGTCCCAGTTTCTAGCAGTGTGGTCAGATTGGTTCTCCTTCTGTTCCATTACTGTTACTTTTATTGTCAGGGAAGCTCAAACTGTCTACTGCTACTTTTAAAATTGATCCTGCAAATCTTGAGAAATCTGTTTACATTTTTTTTTAAACATGCGAAAGAAAACGTTTTTTCCATTGTGAGTTTATTAGAAAAATGGAGTTAGAATGACTGCAAAAAAAAGGATGAGTTGTTAGATGTAAGTCAGTGGACTTCTCTTTCTCCCTCTCAAACATTCCTCCTTGATTTTATTCATAAACACCGATAAAAGAGCCGTTTTATTGTGCCTTGCGGCAGGAAAAACTGAACAAATGAGCCGACATCAATGTTGATAACACGGGGTGGGGGCGGGGAATAGTAAAGAATTCAATCGCGCAGTTAGGACTGGTACCAAATGTGCTGCCTGTTTGTTTTTGATCGCCTTTTGAAATCAACGGAAAACGAGGTAAGATGATTTTAATGGTAATTTCTCTCTATTGATCGTCTACAATCTTGCGCTGATGTGCTAAGTGGCTTCATTAAAACAACCTCTACATAATGTTCTTTCCAACGGTTGTCTTTTCTCTCGTTTGATAATGAATTTACGGTCAGGAGAATGGGGTATGAGGTTACATTATGCGCTTTGTTGAACTTGCGTACGAATGCATGATTATTTAATGCCCTTGCAAAGGTTTTCAGGAACTTTTTGTTTTAAATCAGTTCGCAAAAAATGGAAAAGATTCCTTTATGAAGAATTTTTTTAATTTATCTCAGGTTATAACATTGCTTATCATACTTTTCCTCGCTGTGTTAATTTGTAAATACGATTGATGTTGATCTCTGATGAATATATAACTAAATACACATGTATATCAAACCAGTGATTTGCCTTTCATCTGTGGAATTTTAATTTTCTTCGTCCGGAGGTCTTTGAAAAAAATCTGAATTTGTAATCGTTTTCGTTCAATCGTGGTATGTTGAAAATTTTCGAGAACAGACCGTAGAATTGTTTCAATATTTTTTTGCATTGACAATATTTTAAAAAGAAACTTCTAGTTAATCGACCACACCGCTCTATTTTTGATTACAATATTCTGCAATTATCTGTGTACATGGCTTTAGCTTATACACTCCCCTAACAAAACAACAACGTGGAGAAGGTATCGATTTATATAAAAGGGAGTCTGGATGATATTTTGTTCAGCAATTGTCTGTGTACATGGCTTTAGCTTATACACTCCCCTAACAAAACAACAACGTGGAGAAGGTATCGATCTATATAAAAGGGAGTCTGGATGATATTTTGTTCAGCAATTGTCTGTGTACATGGCTTTAGCTTATACACTCCCCTAACAAAACAACAAGGTGGAGAAGGTATCGATATATATAAAAGGGAGTCTGGATGATATTTTTGTTCAGCCTTTGAATAGTGCACTGACCAAAAGATCACAGCCCTGTAGACAAGGCAAGGCTACCAAAAGGCTAACAATTTCATTTTACAGTCTGTTTTGAGAGGATCACAGCTCTGTCAACAAGGCAAAACCATCAAAGGCTAACACTTCAAATTTCCAGTCTGTTTTCAGAAGATCACTGCTCTATGGACCAGACATTATAGTCTGTTTTGAGAAAGTCACAGCTCTGAAGACAAGGCGAAGCCACCAAAAAACTAATTCCTTCATTTCTAAATCTGTTTTCAGCTGTGATGTCAGTATTTTGTGATGGAACAGTCCATACCAGTTTCTGAAGTTAGCTCAGAGACAGTGACTGGTCCAATCCCACCAAATGAAACATTCCAAAATATCGAACAGGTAATAATAACAATCAGCTTCTACTTTCTAATTCAGCTTTCTACTTTTTTGTACTTCTATCAGTAAAATATAGTTTCCTGCACTATATGAAGTGTTGTTGTACCTAGATGTAGAAACTAGTAGTGTGCCTTTTTTTAATGTATGCTATAGATTGTAAAACCTTTAACTTACTTGACACAAACAATAAAACATTTGCTGAGAAACAACTTACTTGACACGAACAATAAAACATTTGCTGGGATACAATATATTTTGTCCATGGAATATTAAGACACAACAAATACCATAGCACTAGTAACATATTTCAACATGAATGTTCTCAAGATAGTTTCCTACATGTTATGACTTAAGGAGATGCCACTCAATAAGTAGTCCAGGACAACACTGATCTAATAATTGTTCAGTTTGCACTCATCTATAACTTCTGATAGAAGCACTCTGATAGGAAAATGTCCAAATTCCATAGAACATAACACTATGGCCTGAGTTTGGATGGGCCTTTGTTATCTGCAGCCCAAGGCATTAGGTAAATTCAATCAAAACCACTTTGTTACTGTTTACAGTTCCTGCTTCACTTTACAAAAATTACTGAGTCAATATTACCTGGCAAACACAAGTGACTGACAATAAAATAAAACTTTATTCTCTTTTTTTTACAAGAGTTGGATGCTTGGTTATAAAACCAGTTGCAGCTTAGAATGTGTGTTGTATTTTCAGCAATATCAGGAACAGTGGCATTTACTGGAAAACTTGCAATCTGAGTTAGGATCAGAAGGACACTCTGAAAGCTGGCAAGACTCTGTAACATCTTTGAACAGCAGCGCAACTTCAAATGCTAATAAAGAAGATGCTGAACCAGCTGTTTATCAACAAGAAAAGGTGTGTCTTTAAGTGTGCATTTTGGAAGTGAAGTCAACCACACCCACCTATCTCTATGCCCTAACTCATTTTTTCACTCTACTGACTCCTAAAGGAAGGCAGCGAAGAGTGGTTTATTCTGGGTGAGGACCCAGGTGGTGCTGAGGTGGAGAACACCTCTGATGATAACAATGTTGCAAGAAAGGAAAGTGTTTCTGATACTAAAGAGGAGCAAGAAGAGGAAACTGCAAAACAGGTTGGTTAAACGAGAATGAAAGTTTATGTCTGCTCTTTAAAGGTCTGTAAATTTCAGATATTACTCTTGTGTTTCTGATATAGGAATGATGATCATGAAAATTAATTATCATGATTTTAAGATATTGTATTGTCGAACAGTTGTCCCCTTATGCAGAGCAGTGGTTTGAATTAGAGCAACTCAAGCAAAGTGTTCGATCTTTGAGTCAAGTGGCAGGTTTACCGCAGTCACCCCAGCTCAGTGAAACCTTAGGGAGTGGTTTAAGCAGTGGTTCACTGAGTGTTGAAACGCTCGAAGAAGTCGGACTTGAGGATGAAGATGCTGTGCTGAAGGAAGGAGCAACTGAGCAGAGTAAGTTACAAAAATTAAATGAAGTATTTATCATCTTACCAGTAAGTTATGCGAAAAATATGCTCTTTGGCTTAACTTCTCTGTAGCCGAGTATGTTCAGTGCACTTAGTCTAGTTGTTAGTACTCCAACCAATGAGCTAATAGGATATTCTATATATACAAGGCTAAAAGATTAGGAAAAAAATTATTAAAATATTTAAACCAAATGTTTTCGGCTGTTTGTCATCATCAGGGTGTATGATGATGGCAAACAGCTGAAAACGTTTGGTTTAAACATTTTAATAATTATTTTCTTAATCTTTTAGCCTTGTATATAGAATATCCTTTATTAAGCGAACATTATGGACAATGAGCTAATGTAATGGATATATTTCCAATACAAAATTAACTAATGACAATGAATGATTCATACAGTCTGTGTGACACATCCTGACAATTGATGTATGCAATGTTCAGTATGTACTGTCAGTACTGCCTCCAGCTGTAACTTGGGGAGAAGGAAAAATTTCAGGAACTAGATTTGCAGCAAAAGGTGCCAATAATGATTTTGTAGGAAGCTGTTAAATTTTTGTGACACAGTGCTTATGGTGTTAAATTATGGTGAAATTTACAATTTGCTCAAAGATTGAGACACTGCACAAAATTTCCTTTTCCAATTATTTTCTGGCATCTGAATTTTTTTTTCTGGTTATGATTGTTATGAGTTTAGGTTTCCAAATGGTGATCTTAAAAACAGTTGAGCATAGAGCCCAGGTTAGAGTTATTAATGTAAACATTGGAGCATCATGGCAAGAGTTTGTCAGCCTTTTCTGCTCTTTACTAATATTTAGGCAGAATGTTTGTAATACTTTAATGAACATGATTACCTTTCCTCACTAATTGTATCGGAAAAGGAATAACTCCTATCTTCCTGGGGAACTCATTTTTGTTCTGCCATTCTGACTACCAGTAGTTCCTTTTGTTGTGGAATCTTCATCTAGCCTAAAGTGACATTTCTGGATCTAGCAGTTGAATTATTGTTGTTGTTGTTGTTGTTGATGTGTGACAGGAGCAGCTCCAGAGGTGGAAGGTGAAGAGGATCAAGTGGAGGATGCTTTGCATGATAGTGGCGCCTCCTTCAGTGTTGATGGGTCTGGTGTTGAAGACAATGAATTAAGAAGTCAGTGGTTCCCACTGAGGCCAAGCGCCGTAGGGGAGGATGACGAAGAAACTAATCAAGTATCCTACACTACTACTACTACTACAAGTACAGCTGTTCAGCCATCAAGCGGCGAACCACCTCAGAATGTTCTATCTGCTTGGTCTGATGATGATACAAAGCAGTCACCTCCAGAGAGATCACAACCAGATGGAAGAGATGGGCCAGATCCTAAGAAAACTCCATGGGTCAGAAGCACATTTACAAGTACACAACAGACAGTTACCCCTCCCATCCTGAATCAACCTGTGACCAGTGGCACAGCTGAGAGGAAAGACAGTGGCAGTGATACATCTGTGCTTTCACAGCCACAGAATGGCAATGCCACACCACTGGAAATTATCACAAGGAGTGTCCCCCCTGCTCCAAGAGGTGTAGCCTTGGTTAGTGAATTGAGGCGAAGACACGCCCCTCAGCTGAACAGCGACAGTGATACCGAGAGCCCAGTGTCAAAGCTGCTAGGTCCAAACTTCCGTGCGGTTCAGCAAGTGTTGGACAGACTCAAGCAAGACAAGCTCTCTGGAGGTGTGAGCGATGAAGCAGAAGAGTCACTGTCTGAACAGCAGTCTTTGAGAGAGGAGAGCTTGCATTCAGAGGTGAGTACTGCTTCAACAACTCATTCAGCGGGGAGTACTGCTTCAACAACTCAGGGTACAGAGAGAAATTCTGGACTTGGAACAGGAATTAAAACAACGAAACCCACACCTGATGATGCAGCCACAAGTCTCGAGTTACGTTCTTTAAGATCATATGAAGGGGCAATCTCGTCACACTCTGAGATACGACAACATGATAGACAGTTAATGGATGAAGCTCGCCGAAGCTCGTCTTCAAGTGCAAACGACACCTTCAAGAGGTCTTCGGAGACTGGACGTGTATCGAGCTGGACAAATGCCAAGCTATCCCAACGTGATGCAAATAGAGTAAATCCTGCTGATGCTTTCCTAAACTCAATCGAACCACCTGCCATGAATACCACAGAAGACCGCAGCTCAATCGACAATAGTATCACAAACGCAAGGAGTTCGGGTCAAGATGTTCGTTCGTTCTTAGGAAATGGCAGCGTGACGTCTTATCATGGCTCTGCTCATATTATTTCTCAACCTCAGTCATCAAGCAGATATCCCACTGAGCTTCGTCCCCGTAGCTCAATAGAGAACAGTCTCCGGAGCTCACAGATTGCATGGGGAGATCGTTCAGTTCCAATTAAAGATACGAAGGAACTTCCTTATCGTAGAGACATATCTGATCATGTAGCGCTTCCGTTAAGAGCACAAGCAGCTAGAGAAAGTTTACACGAGATAAATCCTCACAGTTCCACAGGGGGAAGCTATCACAATCTGAGAACAGCTTGGCCGGAACCCGCAATACCAATGGGTCCTACAAACAGAGAGCTGTTAATTGGTAATGCTTCTGAAGAGATGTCCGGTGTTATTCCAGGAGACAACTTAGAATTCCCAAGTCACCTAAGCTCTGGTCCTTTAGATGGTGCAAACGCCTTTGAGGCTATAGTTTCCAGTGAAAAAGAGAGAGCGGAAGATTTGAACAGAGCGGAAGAAAACCACGGGAGAAATCTGGAGCAAAGACGAGCTAGTGATTTAAGCGTATCATCAGATGATACAGACGATCTCTTGACGTATGAACCGGTACTAGAAGGTGATCGTCAATATTTGCAAATGCAAAAGCGAACCAAACATCCTCAACAGCGAGTTGATGCAATTGAGCAAAGGGAAAGTTGGTTATCTGCGAGACCATCTGAATTTTCCAAACAGATACCCGGCTGGGAACCACCTCCTCCTTCAATGGAAGCACCGAAGAGCATCCAAAGCTTCCCTGTAGACCAGGATGACAGTCAGATTAAGGCTTTACACTGGTCTTTAGGCGCTGGTACTATTTCTCCCATATCATACGATAGCGTAGCTCAGACCGATTCTCAAGAAGAAAAATCGTCAACACCATTGGGTCCAGCTCTAGAGCGTTCAAGTGTCCATGGGGTTGGCGACCTCCAAGGGCAGAGTCTCCAAGAAAAGGAAAGCACAGTATATAGTGAGGATCGAGATGCAGCTTCGAAGAAACAACCTCGAAGTTATTCCACTACAGAAATTTCCTCTTCAGATGAGATGTACAGACCAGTGTTATACAGGGATGTTGCAGCAGATGAAGAAAACCGCCCAGACGAGAGTGCGGTTGAAGCTTCACCGTATGGCATTTACGACATACGAAGGTCCTCAGGCCCTGGTAGTACAAACAGACGTAGGAAGGCCTTGGGTCTTCAACCCAACCCAACAAGGGACAGCGTCAGTCAGAGGGGGACTGGCATGGTGTATATATCAGGAAGCTCTACGCCAAGCAGTGTGCGTGGTGGGAGAGAAAGGTTTGCGAGGAGAGAAGAAACCCCCCCTGGAAGACGTTCCTCTTATGGCGAGCAACGTCCAGACAAACAAGACTATGACGAGAGGTTCGATAGGAATGTAGAACTAAAGAAACCGCTTAAAACGAAATATCATGAAGTGGAAAAACAGGCTCGAAGGAGCAAAAAAGATCGAGAGATGACGGCGATACGAGATTATCAAGATACACGCTCAAAGCAAGGCTTGGTTCGCGTGAAGAGTACAGCCGGCCATCCACTTCGACACCAGTTGAGCAATAGTTCTGGTAAAGACTCCACTATCAGTGGCGATTCTCCAGAGGACGAAAGAGGACCATCGCGTCATACTTCAGGCAGGTCACGGCAGCCACCTTCACAATATATGGACACACCTCATCCAAGTGCTTCAAGTCATTCTCCAGGTCATGGCAAGAGATCTACCAGAGCTGGAAAATCGAGGACGAGATACGCTGAAGATGATCGTGCAATTTCGACTCATCTGTCTAGGGCAGAGACATCTGGAAACAGAAAAGACGATTCATGGGTACCTGATGCCAAGGGTGGCCACGATAAAAGCTATTCTCGTGCCTCAAAATCCTCGAGAATAGATGCTAACATTTCAAGGCTAACGTCGTTGATAACGAAGTCATTAGAGGAGAGTATTTCCTCTTCATCTCTTGCGTCAACCACGACGTCTTCAAGACGACCAACTTCAAAAAGTAAAAAGGCAAAGCTGGCCTCTTCAACCAGTGAATCGTCTGACGTTTCCGAATATTTCAACTATGCTTTCTTTGAACCTCGACTCCGCACCTCCATTGGACAGAAAATAAAACTGAGAGAGTTACTCAGGTCTGTGAAGTCACATGACCTTTCCCCCATAGTCAGGAGAACTGGAGATAGCACCTCTCCCGAGTCTACTTCCGGATTGTCCAGCAACGACGGGGTGAGTGCGGAAAAGGAGCCTGTGCCTGAAGTGACCGAGCCTCTACGGTCACAGGCCTTACAAAAACCTAATGGAATGTACCCTTCCCAGCAGACAACGACTGGTCCAAGATGTACTTGCGCGCGCGCCCCAACAGCTGTCGCACGAGCAGCATCATCAGGGGTGTTCCGTAGGGAAGCTAATGGAAGAAAGATTGAAAAGCGGGATGTTGGTGTGAACTTTCCCACTCCAGCTGTTACAAGGTATCCATCGCCCGTAGAAGAGGAGGTGTCGCGTGTACAGCTGGAAGATGCCAGCACTCAGACTGACGAAGTTGTTGGTGGACGAAAAGTTGATAGGGAACCTGTAAAATCACCGCGTAAGTCAATGAAGAGCAAAAGAAATGAACAGGTTTCAAATATTGAAGAACGCGGGGTGATCTCTCAGCCCTCGCCTAAAAAGTCAGATCTCTATCACCATATGGAACAGCGAGAAACTCGACATAAACCTAAAGAACGTTTGGTACCGAGTCAAAATTCACCGGATCATAGTGTTACAACAAGCACTGACTTGAGAAACAGGGTACATGAGCCCGCGTGGTTTTATCCCTTGAAGGGAAAACCGCAACCCGAACCAAGAACCACCGCGCAGATAAGCAGTAGCCTGAGTAAAAGTCGCACAAGAGATGAATTACGAGCAGACGTGTTTGAAGCCTCAGTCAATCCTTCCAGCACACTACAGCAGCTGAGTCTTCAAGACGCGTTCCTCTATGCCAGGCCTAAATTTGTGAAGCGTTCGAAGGACAGAGTTGCTCAAATTGAGCAAGCTGCACGAGAGAAAGAAAGACGAAGGATGCTAACTCAGACTGTGGATGAAGAAAAAAAGAGAGAAGAGGCTGAGATACGCAAAACAAGAACTCCGCCTGCTCTTCAGAAAACCAAGCCTCGTTCTTCACGGAACGGTAGGTTCACGTGAGCAGTCCTGGGTCGGGTTATGTGATGACCTCTAACGTATTGCTCCCCATTTTAAAATCGAAAACGTAGAAAAAAATGGAAATATTAGGCTTTTTTACTGAATCTTTTTCTGCTCGAACAGAAAATCGCAAACATTTTTTGCCAAAAGAAATTTCGTTCATACCGAATCGCAATATTTTGCCCATATTTAAGACAAAAATGCATCAACCGCACGGTGAAACCTCAGCAAAATTTCAGCAGACAAATGTTAATATGAAAACGAAGAAATGGAATCCTGTCATTTGTTGTTTTCGTGTGGATAGAAGACGGTGAGACGTAAACAGAGTCACTGCTTGCAAATGGAACCGGATACGTAAAGTCAAGAATTGCCATCTTTCGGATAACGAGCAGTTTGCTTAGGTCTCGTAGGTCGTTTCGTTAACGTTTTAGGTTGTTTTGCACTTATAAGTTTTGTTTTCTTCGAAGTAACCACAAGGGTATGGAATCGACTTCAATCGGGTATCGAATCTACGTCAGTTTGTCTTGTATCGATTCGACTTTCAGTTTGTATTGAAGGGACTAAACTCTCCTTGCTACGACTTTTCGGTCGATTAGAAGTCGACCGAGTTCTGCCTATAGAGTCACTAAACGTTTGGTAATAATACCTCAGCGAAAAGACGTCAGAGACGTTGGCGAACTGCTCTGAGACGTTGACAAAACGACCTAAAATGGTAGTGAACTGGTCGTTAGCGAAACAACTCGTAGACGAAAAGTTTGCTTACTAAACCCAATATAAGTTATTAAAAAAAATAGCATGCGGGAATTTTTATTCCTTTCTTGAATATTAGGTGTTTTTATTTTCTACTTTAGACCACTATTCTGGACCAAAACCAAGGCAGATGACTCGGGTGGAGATAAAAGAATTAAATAAAAGGTAAAGCCAGCTATTTTCCCCCTAGTTCTTAACCGTCCTAAAGTTGTTGACTTCTTACTTTATCAGTCTTCTAAACTTGATATTGGTTTTGGTTGTTCTTTTGAAGGAGAACGTATTACCCCACTGAAAGATCGACCGAGGAATGATACTAGGATTGCACTTATTCACTTTGCACTTCGCTTTTTTGCCTTCCTCCCTCATTGTTCTTCCCTTCGTCTTTCTAAGATCTGTCGACACGTTTTCATACTTAAGCATGCCGCTCCATTCAAGGGATCATCTTTTTTTAAAAGTTGCTTTATCCCTATCAATTCAGAGCAGAATCTTAATTGGTAGAAAGCATCCCAGGAAAAGTAAAACTTGACACTGAATTTATTACGTAAAATGTTCAAGATTGGGAAGACAAGTGTATGTTCAAGTTTCTCATTGTCTCTTTTTTTTTTTTTCTTTTTTTTGTTCTTTTTTTTTAATCTTGTATTAACCCATTTGACTTTTGTTCAGGCTTTACAAGAATTTACCAGAGGTCAAAGCAAAGAATGAACAGCAGAAACGCTTAGCTTTTTATCGAACAAACAGATTACGTGCCCAACTTTATGACAAAGTGAGTTTATTGGTTTGTTAATACATTGTAGCATTCATATTAGAGTAGTTTTATCAACTAAGTGCCAAGAAACCAAAACCAAAGTAATCACAACTACTCATCTGGAGAAAGGCTTATATTATCCTTAACCAATGAGAACTCAGGAAAAACAGACAACCTGCTTGAAATGCAGGAAAAGACAAGTGACCAAAATAGTTCTGCTTTTGATTAGTGGAGAGAGTGGCATAAGTATTCTGAACCAATCACAGAGTGAACTAAGGTAAATCTAAAAATCCTGAATTACTTTCAACAACAAAGCCATCAATGAGTAATATGCAGTCATGTACATCTGGGCTGTGGTTTGTAGGGGTGGGGAGGGTGGGGTGCTGTTGGTGCTAATTGTTAGGGGAGCAAGATGGATGAGGAGAATCAAGCCATTGGCCATCAGCATCAATGGTTAGCTGCCATACCAGTCAGTCACAGGTGGATAATATTGAGATAAGCCAGATCCTTGGTTCATATGCGACAAGCCTTCTGCAAACTCAAACTTATTTCATTTATTGTCCTCTAAACTTTCTGCAGAGAGTACGCAACCGTCTCAAAGGAGCTGGCAAATGACTTTCAACATCCGGAAGAATGTATTCTTTTATTCCTGAACAACATGGTTGGCCTTCCTATGTTACAACTGAACATTCTTAATGACATAAAATGAGATTGATACCAATTTAAATTGACATCCATGCATCAAGCCAATCATAAAGTTCAGCTTCTGCACTTACTCTGTCACACCTTGTGACGATAAATTTCTATTTATGAATTTTACAAGAAAAAATACTGAATCAATATCCCAATATTTAAGGTGCTTTTTCTCTCAGTGAGTTTTACTTTTCAGTGGAGTTCCCATTTTAAGGTTAAAATAATATAATAAAAGACATATTAAAGGAATAAAGATATATGGTACAGTTTTCTTGTGTTTTTACTTATATTTTGCTTGGGAAAGAAATTAAATGTTATTAGTAAATACCACACAAGCTAAAAATGCTTTTCCTGCCTGCTGATTGGCTAGTTCGGAAGTAAATAATGAGTACTATTCACCTCGGAGCAGCTGACGAGGCAAAATCACACATTTGGGTTTAATTTCTGACCATTTTTGGTACTTTTTTTAAAAAAAACGTTTTTTAGGTATCCGTGTGGTATGCACTAAAACAGTTATTCACCTCATTGTTGGTGAGTGTGGTGGATGCTCGGTAAATATCCACCGCTATTTACCTCCACTTTGGTCAATAATTTTTAGTTATTGGGTGTATAGATTATACTGTTGCATCACAGAGCCTTCCCAATGAAACCAGTATTGAAACGACTATGTGTGGTCTTAAAAAAAAAATGAACACAATGACTATTAATTGCAAACAAGATTACCAGTGTTGTCTGGAGTTTTTGACAATGAGTGACACCAGGTCATATATGCTATGCAACAATAACAAGAGTAACTATTGTAGGTGTCAGGATTATAATTTATTATGTAGTTGTCTTTGTTTGTGGTTTTCGTGTTTGCTTAGCCTAGTTTTCATTTCTTCCAAGCTTTGTTGATTAGTCATAGTCTTATATTGTGAGCCAAAATTTCTCCCAATGAGCTGATGAAGTAGCGGAGTGTTTGAAGTGCATTCCAACTGCGTTCAGGGTGTTTTTTGGTGTTTTTGTCCAACTCTCATCTCGGAGGTAAAAACAACAAATTATCACTAAATATGGAATTTGAGGAAGATAACACCTTTTTCACAATTCAATCCCTCTCCATGGAGGCCGTCTTCCGAATGCTAAAAGCTGCTTTTATGGGTGCAAATTTAAACAACTGAAACTCTTGTAAGCAATTTTTAGCTGCAAAGATCAAAATAGTGATTTCACTGAGTAAAAACAGAGTTTCTGTTAGAGGGTACTTAAAATTTCAACAACCTACAAACTGGGTAGTTTGAGATGCATTACTGAATATGCCTTTCACTCTATTGCCAATCATGTTGCAGACTGCTCAGGAGACATGAGCCCTAATCAAAGGGGTGCAAAAATGTCATGATTCTGAGCTGTCAGTGGAGGGATCAAATGCATTTCTTTTTGTCCACTTTTCACCTTCATTGCAACAATGATGGACAGGAGCATGAAACTGAATCTTTAGTTTTGTATTCAGGCTCAAAGTTTGTTTGTCACTGAAAGGGAAAGTAATTGGAAACTGTTAAATTTAAAATGAGTTGAGATGGTGCAAAGAAGTGTAACAAACTTTACTTGTTACCAGTAACAAACTCTAATCACATGTTACAGCCACTCACATTTTAGAAAATTAGCCAACAGTTTCAAGAACAAGATGCGAAACATTTCACACAGAAATCATTTGTAACTTCAGTGACTTCCAGTCAAAATTACAGTATTACAAGCACTTATTTCACCTAGACAATGGGTATTATGTGTATTTCCAAAGTAAGTTAATTTAGAATTATCAGTCTAGATTCAGAAAATTGCTTACTTAGTAATTGTTGCTTATAAACAATGTAGTTCAATACTTGCCAACATGTTTTGGTCACAGGTTAGATATTTGACAGCTAGTACCAGCAGGTTCATACAGAATGAGGTCATATCTAGAGTCATCCAAAAATCTGTGAATTTTTTTGCGAAAGTTTCCATGTGCTGCCTGTTTTAGGACTGAGTCCTGAAGAGTTTTCTATAATAGCTGACTTTTTTTGTTTTTTTTCCTAATCATACGGGAATCGGTAGGTAGGGGAGAGTTAAATTGATCTAAATGCACAAGAATTGGTAGGTGTATTTCTACCAATTGGACTGTAGAATCCCCTTTAACATTTTAATAAAGGGTTTCCTTAAATGTTCCACATCCACCCTTGTTCCTTCCAGTGCATCATCTAGATCTTGCATTAGATCTTCATCCATTGGATGGAATTCCAGTCCACCATAAAATACTCTCTCATGCTGTTCTGAGTCGTAGTTCTTTTCAAGCAAGTTAAGGTCTGGCAAAAAGAAACATGGCAGATTTCCTTGCTTGAGACAATTGTCAAGGAAGTCATAAATGTACTTTGCCCAGGTGATCACCTGGTCCTCTGATTTGTTCTGTACATCAAAGTCAATTTCTTTCCAGAAAGATTTATTTACTAAAAGAAAAAGGGCATTTTTCAAGAAGTAACTAGAGATAACTTTATCTGCTGAGATGCTGTTATCTTCTGGCAGATATACCAGTACCTCAGTTTCTTCGTGAGGTGATTGGTCAGTATCCTCTTTGCTGTCTCTTTTTTCATCAGAACTGCTTGGTAGCACTTGCATTGTTTGAATTCCTGGTGCAATTTGTGAACACACATAGGTACTTCTCACAGCCTTTGCAAGAATGTAACCGGAATGAACATGCTCTGGAAGAGCCTGGAAAATTGCAGTTTCAGCCAGAGAAAAAGAAAGACGAAAGTGTTTTTCTCCACTTTTGAAAAAACTTCCACTGTGCAGGGCCATGACAACATGAACACCTTTTTCTTTGATTTTGGGATGCAGCAAAGGGGTTTCACAGACATTTGGAGGCCAAAACTTGGGGAAGTGTAATGCAGGGACGAGATCAACACTGATTAGCAGATCTCTGTAAACTTGACCAGACCACTTCAGTGCAATCTTTGTTGCATTGGCACCCATTAAACAGACACTAACTGGTGCTAAAGAAGGGATATCATTCCAAATTTCCACCTCAAAAAAGGCTTGGTTCAGCTCATTAGTGAAATCATTGATCAATTTTGCACTCCTTAAACTGTTATCTTGGTCTATGTATTCCATTAACACCTGAGAAGATGTCAAGCACAAATCAGGTTTCAGCTGCAGTTGACAAAACATTGGGGGGCTGGATTCCACATTTGGCTCTTGGAAAAACTCCCCGAGTTTGACCATTGTACACAGGAAGTCAAATTCATCAGGAAATCCACACTTGGTTTTTTCACTGACACTACCAGAGATTTCAGGCACAAAACTGAACAGAGGATAGGCTTTTGAAACAATTGTTGCTACCCGTTCAATAACTTTGTTCACTGCAGATTTAACTTCCTGGATCTCTGGAATTTCTTGTAGTTTGCCAATGACTGGTGAAGTTAACAGTTTTTTCAGAGTTCTGATTGGCTGCTCATTGAGAGAGAAGTCCTTTGATTGCATCTTTTCAACATCCTCTTGCTTCTTGATGTCAACAAATTCAGCTTTGAGTGGAAACAAATTGGGCAGTTCTCCTCGTTGAAAACCATTGTCCAAACACAAAAAATAATCTTCCAAAATATTGATTAGTTGTACATATCCAAAGTACCTTGCCCACTGGATTGGGGTTTTCCCAGAACTATCTGGCTTTGAAACCAAACAAGGTTCACATTGAGTCAATAAATATTTCAATGCTGTGGCATTGTTGTAGAAAACTGCATAGTGAAGAACTGTTGCTCCATTTTTGTCTTCAATATTAACCCCACAGTTATATTTAATTAGCTCCCTTAAATTTGCTGTATTGTTCCAAGAGCAGGCCAAGTGTAAGGGGGTAACACCATTTCTTTCTTTAATGTTAACGTCTGCTCCATGCCCGACAAGAAACTGCAAGAGAGAACTCTGTCGCATTTCAGAAGTTACATAATGTACGAGCGCTCGACCAAAGATGTCTTGACTGTTGATTTTATAGCCCTCCATCACAAAGAGTTTTACTAATTTTGAATGTCGCGATTTCTCTTCGTCATATCTATCTATCGGGTTGCTGCAGTCTAGATACCTCAACGTATGCAAAGGTGTCATCAGTAAGGAGTTAGTGCTATTTACCGATATTCCTGTTAAGATCAGAAACTGTACAGTCTCCAAAGAAGCCCCTGACTCCACCGCCTTATGCAAAAGGGTTTCACCTGCTGGGGATAGGGTAGCAGATAAATCTACTCCAAGATCTACAAGGACTTGAAGAACATCAACAGCATCTGATCGAAACAGCTCCAAATTATGAAGCAGTTCGTAAGTTCCATTTCGCGTACGATCGAGCTTTTGCAAGGAAAATCCTCTGTCTACGAAAGTTTGACATGCTTCTTTATTAGCATGCTCTAAGGCATGTTGGAATGGTAGTCTTCCAAGACCGTCTCTACTGAACATATCTGCGCCATAGTTTAGGAGAAGCTGTACCATTTTGTAGGCCTCGTCGTCGTAAAAATTAATACAATGCAGAGGTGCACTCCCATAGTCATCCCTCTTATTAGGATCTTCTCCCGCTTTTAAATAGTTTTCCACAGCTTCAAGACCATTGTTAAGTATAACTTCGCTGTGTAACAGGAATTCCATTACTGCGGTTTATCTTGAGCGTCTTCTCGAATTTTACGTTTCCTAGTTCCCAGGTTCTTCGGATTTCTCGCTAAGGTACAAAACCAAGGGGAACATTGGGAGGAGGTGGTGGGGGAATTGGAAGATTAAAAAAATATTCCTCTTTTGCTTGTTATATTTTTGTGCCTACTGCCTCATAGAGGAGAAGAAGATTTCTGATTTTAGACACAAATAGACGTTATTAGTTTCTTTTGGATTTAGGCCACTAGTGGCTGATCTTTGGAGTCAGATATGTGACAAAATTCATCGAACAAAATGTGTCAAATCTGTTGCTCAAACTTGGTATTCCAAATGTGGAAGTAATCAAATCGATAGTCATCTCCGTCAAACAAACTGTCAAATCCGTTAATCGAACTTCCAAAGTAATCAAATGCAAACTCAATGTCATCAAACGTATGCGGACTCATCGGAAGCAGGAACCCATCGTACGAAAACCCATTGAACGAAAACCCATCGTACGAAAACCCATCGTACGAAAACCCATCGTACAAAATCCCATCGTACGAAAACCCATTGAACCAAAACCCATTGAAGAAAAATACATTACATAATACGAAATTTGAGCTAGCGGGTTTGGGCTGGGTGTTACG